ACTTTGCTATTCTTATGGAATATATTAATATCACCTCTAGGTTTCTTTCAGGGTAAAATTACATTATAGTTTCAGTATTGATGGTCTGTGTCTTTAAGATCATAAATTCTGCTAATTTCCATGGAGAATAGCAGGAGGGGCAAATTCATTCCTTGATAGATATGATGGTCTAAGGATCAATTCCAATGCTGTATTCTAGGATTAATATTAGAAAGTTTTATGCTTCCTGTTATAAACTTCCATTACAATAGAAGGCAGATAACCAATCAACCCTTGAACTAAACTGTAATGGTTGTACAAATAGAACAACTTATTTAATCATTTGTATTACATATTTTGAATTTACTTTTTGATTACAATTTAAATTTGATTTAATTTAATAAAAAGAACTATACTTTTGAGAGTTTTTTTTCTACAAGCTGGTATTTTCTGCATGTATTGGACTATACATTCTAAAATTCCCATACAGCTTGGCCAGTGCTGTAGAACTTAGGGACTTACAACATGTATCAGATAACAAACCTATTCTTCCCCTTCTGCTTTCATTACAACAATAGAAAGATGATTGTCCCTGTACTAATGCATCTACTGGATGATAAATCTCACATTGCAATATGAATATAGTTTGTTTTCCTCTTCTCAAAGACATGGCAAATTCACCCTATTCACTGCAAATAACACACAGATTTAACTTAAGGAGTGTCTTTCAGATCATGTAATTTGAGTAAAGAGTTTATTATATCACTGACACAACTGATGCCATAAGGAAGCTCTAGCCCTGCTTTCTGCTTCTATTATCTAGTTGTCTCAGAGTCTCTGTCGGGATTGCTATGGCCTCATTATTTGTTATACATTAGTTTGGGACATGAGTTTAAGGATTCCCCTGACAATTGCTTGTTGCACTACCATGCCAGACTTTTCATCTGGTAAATGTGTTTACGTGAGCTCACTCTGATCCTATAAATCTCAGGCTTCATACCACAAGAGACTAACAAGCATTTAAAACTAGCTTGTTTGCTATGACAATTATGTCATTATTCAGAAAGAGATAAACATAGTTTTGGAGACATTGACAGAAAGAATATTGATAAAAGTATGGAGAAAGACCACAATACAATAGTGTTGCAAGGACATACTGAAGACTTAAAAAAAAAAAAAACTTTAGTCAAGGAAGCAATTTTAAATTGCACAGCATACAGAATAGATTTCAATAGCAATTTCAAGCTATTGGAAGATGGAGATGGTATTTTTCACATATTTTTGGTTAATACAAAGTGGTACAAAATTTTATTATAAAAAATTCTTTATTAAAGAAAAAAGCTGAAAGAGAATATAAATCTCTTAAAAGTGGCTGGAAATTTAACTGAGTGGCTGGAAATTGGCTGGAAATGGCTGGAAATTTAACTGAGCTTTAATACATTCTTTCTTGAATATCTCTTCATGTAGCTGTATATTCAGTGTAACAATAATGTATAGTATAAAGCTAAAGAATGAAGAATGCAGGAAAGATATTTGGGGAATAGAAACAAAGTTCTCTGAAGAAAGAGAAAAAGAATTGAAGCTTTTATAGTAATCCTTTCACATACAATTCTGAACAGGTTATTGAGTTTTGAAAAAAGAAAATTGAGATGGGACCAAATAGATTTGTTTAACCCCACCCCTTTCCCCAATGTTATATGGGAAAAAAGGCAATACTTATTGTCTTTATCCTAATATAAGAACAGTTCTGATAAAAGAGAATATTTGCAGTGCAGAGTAGAACTGTGGGGTCATTGGTGCTCTCTGACCATGGTTGTTTTCTAGCAGATATTTTACTTATCCAATTAGGTAACATCATCAGTGCTAGAAGGGAATGGAGTCTTCTGTCTATTTATATAGTAGTGGCTTTTCCTGCCAGTTCCTGGTAGGACAATTCTTGGTGGATCCTCAAATAGGCTCTTGTTTATTGTTAGCTTGTCTGAATTCCTTGATTGAAGTATTGTTTACTGCTTTATCTTAATCTAGTATTGGTCTAGTAGTTGATCTAGTATTAATCTTGGAGTTAATCTCTGCTTATCTGATTACTGGCAAGGATGTTTTTTGGTCCTTTTGTTTCCTTGTTGGCTTTTTGAGTGCCTCTTCTGAATGGTATGTAGATATTGTTTATTTCCATGTGCCTGCTGATAGCTGATTTGTCTGAGTGCCAGGCTCCCAAGAGTAGTATTTTTGAACTTAACTTGGTCTATGATGTTCACAATTTCTCAGCTGAAATTATGATTATGTCTGTTCATGTGTTGTAAAATTAAGAAGTTTTCATCAGTCTTCTGACTGGTGTTCATAGATATGCTCTTCTAGTCTTCTGCCTGTTTGTCGCCAGATAAGATAAGATGATAAGTTAGATAACCTTTATTGTAAAGGTTATTTTCTGTGTACACAATGGCATACATTAAAATGAAAGTCTGATGCCCACTCTAAAAACAAGATATTTTATGTCCAGATAGGCTGAAGGGAGAGGAAATTGTTTTGCTAGTTTTCCAATGGTTACACTTAAGCACATATAACAAAGAAGCTGGTTTATTATAGTGAAAAAAAATTATTTAATTCTCTTACTTCATTATATTGGCATTTCTGATGTATTATAGAAAAGCAGGCTATTAAAATCAGACAATTAACTTTTGTACAATGCATACTAATAATCTGTTAGAAAGTGGGATACCAAACTCTTAAAATAAATCAACTACATGAGAGAAATATTTAGCTAGATGGAAAACACGTTTGGTTTTTTAAAAACAATTTAAGTAAATATGACAGGGTTTGGAAGGATTTCCCCTCATTTTGTGGATTTTCTGGCATTGTATTTTATTATTTGATTTTAGATTAATTCAACTAGACAAAGAGTTCACACATATTTCTTTTATTTCTCCTAATGTTATTTACCAATGTTCTGTGATTTGTTAGTAGTATAATCCCTTGGGATTTATAATATCCTAAATAAATAAAATCAAATAATCTACCTCCAAAATTAAATGTCAGTGCATACATACATACACATAATGAATCATGAAAATCAAAAATTTGGAACCATTCTTTTTGTTTCATGCAGTGCAACATTATAGCTATAAATCTGTTAATTGTCATTCCAGAATACAATTAATGGTACTTCTCTTTGCCTTCATAGGATTATACTGCAAAATAATTTTAGTAGTGACTGTTTTGATCATTTTTGTGTATTTTTTTAAATAGTCTGCTTCAGTAACACATAGGGAAAAGCATTTTTTCTCAGAATTTTTTTTTTACTTATTAAAGCATTTTTATAGCATTTGCCATCAAAAGAAATCTCAATATGGTTAAAAACTAAAAATATATTTACAACTAAAATAATAGGTTAAAATGTTTAATGAAAACATATATTAAGATATTGTATATACTGTACAAGTATAGGGTTTAAAACCAGTAAAATAAACACTAAAATAAAAATAAAAAATAAAGAAATGTTCTACAATATGCAAAAGTAATAGCAAACAGCTAGTTTATTAAAGTCCCAGAGATGTAGATGAATCTTTATTTTTTTGTTTTGCTTTCGTTATTGCATTTCTTTTAACAGAGAGTTAAAGTCTCTATGTGATTTTTTAAAAATGCTCATGTTTTTAGCAGTTAATTAAAAGGAAGAAAAGCAAAATTCCAGTGGTCCCACCTTTTATTTCTTCACATGCATGCTCATCTTTGTTTCCCAGATTAGATCTACAAATGAGTCTGATGCAGAATTTAAAGTTAGCTTCTAGTTGGTAGCGACAAAGGCATCACAGTTAATTAAGGTCAAAGTCTTGTTTTTTATTATAAAATTCACCCAGAGCTATCTGGCTAGCTGACATAGTAGTTATCATTGACACCTGCTTAGTTTTCTTACTTTTTTTACTGGCATGAAAAAGAAACTAGATGGACTGGATAATACAAAACATTTTTTTGGTCATTTTATTATTTTGAAGTGTCAGCATGTAAGCATTGAGAATTCAATTTTTTATAAAGACCAAAATGCCAGATTCCATTTTTGCCTATATTTCTTGCAGCACAATATTTTTTGCAACTCCAAAATTATTTAAATAAAATTATTTAGGCACGTAATATATAGTATTAAAATGTAGCTAACTAAAAATGTTAACACATCAGATTTATAACCAGCAATTATAATATACATTGCAAATAAGAAAAATGTGTACAATTTCAGATCTTATCCTTTATTTAAGTATTGTATTATCTTTTGAATAATATTTGAATAACCCAACTGATCTTCATTCGTCAGCAAAAAATGACAGTATGCTTCCACATTTTAAAGATCATTCATTGTTTGCCACAAAAAAGAAATAGTGCCTATTGTTATTAATTGTAAAAATAGTTGATGATCATTTATTTTAATTAAAAAACTCTGGCATTGCTATTTTTCCTTCATTCTCCTGCCTTTTAAAAATGACTAAAGCTATTGTCCCCTACTCTTTACATATCTATATACAGTTGTTTTTAATATTGTTCAGTTCATCTTCTTGAAATGAAATTAATCTTTTAAACACACAAATACTGCATAAAAAACTATGCAGAACCATATTTCCCTAGTAGTGCAAATAGCTTTTCTTTTCTCTCTTTCTCTCTTTCTTTTCTTTTCTTTTTTCTTTTCATTTTACAACCCCCCACCCCTTTAAACAGATCTTGGCTAACTCAAAATGCCCGGATGGTTTGTTGAATTACATCAATATATCTAAGACCTCCAGTCATTTTTTAAAGATTAAGTTTCTTGTGGCTTTCTGTAGTTTTTGCAAACATTGCGTAATTAGTATAATTTAGATAAACAGAATTGAATACATGACTTGATGACATTCGTATATTTCCTATCATGATCTGGCTGCTGCTCGTTGGTATGGCAAAGTCCTCTCTTCTCAAAATCATGTTTGGTTTTCAACCTAATAATGTCAATGCAACTTTAAATTCTTAGTTACAGTTGCTTAGAACTCACTCCTCACTCCTGCTTCCATAGCTGGCTACTTTAGTTTTACTTATTTTCTTAACAGAAAGGGAAACACAATGCTTACATTCCAGGCATTACTATGGTGACAGCAAGAAACTGCAGCTGTAGACCTGAAGCAAAAAACCTGAGGTAATGTTGGGCCCTGGAGACTCGGTAAATATTAACTGTGTCGAAGACAGCTAAGAAGAGTAGCCAAAAAAATACTCCCTCAATATTGATGAGTCAGTTTCTTCAGGGGCTAAAAAGAAAACACTATTTTGAGATTAACTCTGACTTTTCTGTGATTTTTATGGGTGTTTCACAATTTGACAATCTGGCAGTTCTTTTCTTGTGTGCCAGTATTTTAATATTTGGCTTCAGCGCTGGTTTTTTGCTGAAGTCTAATCTTTCAGATTTTTTCTCAGAGCCAAAAGAATAATAACTGAGAGACCCTATACAAGCTTTCTAAATGTTGGGACTCGATTGTGCTCAAGACAGATCTTGATACCAAATGAACAACTTAGTAGAAACCAAACACTTTCCAAAGCAGATGTCTACGATGTGAATATTTAAGCTTGCCATCACATCTGCCAGGAAGATCCTGAACTATTGGCCAAGATGGTGCCTTGTCCTCCTTGTTTCCATATACAGAATCCAACTGGCCTGGCCATTGTGAATTAATTCCAAGTAAGGAAAAGAAGAAGCATTCAACTTTGGGCATGAGGCAGAGGTTTCACATTAAGAATGCAGGCAATCTTTAATGGGCCTCAAGTGATTTTATCTCAATCCCCAACATCCATTTGAAACAACAATTTCAGCCTGCCTAACCATAGGACTGGCTATACATTTTAGTTACTACTTTATGTTATCAAGGCCAGTGGTGGGTTTCTACTGCTTCGCCCCAGTTCGGGTGAACCGGTAGAGACAGGAACGGGAGGCTCCACCCATCTGCCTGGACATCATCACAGACGCTCTGCGCATGCACAGAAGGTTCTGCACATGTGCAGAAGTGCCACACGTGCTCCCAGTTCCAAATCGATAGTGAAGGTAAGTGAAAATCACTACTGAACAAGGCAGTGCCATTAATTGATCAATCAATTATCATGATACCAGCAAATTAAAGCACAGCAAGCACTGAAGAGCGAAGCCTTTACTTGTACCTCTGAATGCACAGGTCCGTGAGAATGAAAAAGTGATCCCTTCTTCCCACGGAAATCTTGTGTCAGAGCTTTACCTAAGGAACAGAAATAAGTACCAGTTTGTCTTTAGAAATTCAAACACTGCAAAGCTAGATTCAGAAATATCTTTCATTCTCATTTTCTATAATGAAGCTTGAAAGTCTTGGAACTTTTGTCAGTTTTGAAACTTGAAAAATTGCTTTAGATTAGATCATTTTCATCTCAGCAAGGAAAGGTGCAATGATTTCTCTGTGTTCTCATTGCTTTTATTCACTCTCTAGAAGAAATTTAATTTGGCTTCTAAGTAAAAGATCTTTTTTTCTACATGAGAAAAGTTGGTATATGTGTGAAAGGAATGTAGATGGGAGATGCAGATTTAAGTTTATGTGCATGAAAAAACTAAGTGACAGGATTTTTATGCAAGGACATATGTGCACATATGTAGGCAAATAAATATATATGCATGTAAGTGGGTGCAAATATATATTTCATGCTCATATATACAATATATTTCCTCATATATCATTACACAAGCCCCATGGGTATAAGTAAATATTTGTATGCGATATGTACATATTATCTACTTATCTGATATGTATTATGCACATGTAAGGTAGATCAGTATATATGAGCATGAGATGTATGTTTGTAAAAGTGCATCTTTCCATGTACATAGACCTGTTCATGTATTCATTCTGTCAGACCAATGTATTAATTGTTTCCCATGTTTCCAGTGTGATAAATATAATTTTGGAAAAGTCACAGCCTTCAGGAGAAGTTAATATGCCATAATTATAATAACAGTAGGTTGTTGGCTGCTAGACCATAAAAGATCATGTGGTAGAATAGTGCTGTTGCCAGTATTTGGAAACTAGGTGTAAGAGTCTATAAATCCTGAGAGAGAGAGGTCTGCATCTGCCTAGCAAAATGAGGACTTTTCAAATACAATGCAGTTCAAGCTTATCTAAGAACTAGCTACCGTTGTAGTCAGAGCCTTTCATTGATCAGTATTGGTCTAAAAGGAAGACTATAACAGAATTGTGGAGTAATCAGTGGTGGGATTCTGCCGGTTCTAGGGGGTTCGGCCGAACCCTTCGTTAAATTGCTGGCTCGCCCCGCCCCTTGCCCCGCCCCTCCGCACCACTATTTATTGCCAATAAAGAGTGGTGGGCAAGGCGCGGGTGAGCCAGCAATTTAACAAAGGGTTCAGTGTTTTTTTGTAATTTTATTGGCCCGCGGAGCTTCAGCATAGGCTAATTAGCCCTTGCTTAGATGGGCTTCTGAATCTCAGCTGATTTGCTCTCAGCTGTTTTGCTCACGGCTCTGCTCCTTGCTTGCAAAGAGTGCTGATTTTTTTTCCCCTAGCTATACTGAAAAACAAAACAGAAAGTAAAGCAGGCTGTTGGCTTTGCACGTTGGAAAATTAGGCAGGCAGATTTTTTTTCTTTTTCCTCACCAAAAAAGGTAGGTGCAAACAATGGGAAATTTAGGGGAAAAGAGGAGAGTTCAAGATTTTAAAACACAAAAGAAAAAAAGTTCTATTTAACTAGGGAATTGTAATAATTGAGATACTATTAATTGTATATTGTGTTGAAAGCAGAAATGGTTAAGTTGTGGTTTGGAGGAATATATGGGGAAAATTATTTGGTTTATTATTATTGGTAAATATAATTAATTGATTTGTAAGAAATTGGATTGCATGGAAATAATTGGAATATTCATGTTCATATTGATTAATATACAAAAAAGGTAGTTATATAACTAATTGATTTATATTAAAATGTTGAATTTATATTAAACAACTGTAATATTACATAATTAATCAATGTGAGGATGGATATAAAAAAATGCAATGGGAAGGGGTATAATATAGAATAGAAGGGAAAAATTGAATTTGATTAAGATTAGAGATGAAGATGAAGGGTAATATTGGTTTTTTACAAAAATAGATGAGGAATAAATATGGCAAAAAGGAAATATAGAAATTGTAAATTTAATTGAAATGACTAAACACTGTTTAAATTTGTGAACCGGCCAAATACTCTGTTCAAAGAAAATACATTGTATGTTTGTATGTGTGTTTCTAATTATTGTTATTTATTCATATTTGTTCTCTTTTATTCTTTAAAGTTTAACAATTCATTCTTTATCTTAATATCTTTATATTTGTTTGGGGTTGGCTTTCTTCCCTTTCATCTTTTTTATTGTACAGCAATCTTTCTCCTCAAATCTACCTCCTCTCTCTTTTCTTTCCTTCTTACTTTTTCTTCTTCCCCTTCTTCTTCTCCTCCCTACTTCCTCTTCCTTTCTCCTTCTCCTCCTCTCTTCCTCCCTCTCTTACCCTCCCTCCTACTCTAATTTCCCTTCCCTTCCTTCATCCCTCTCTATTGCTGTATCCTGTATCCTTTTATGCATATGGACTACTCAGAGGGCTGAAAAAAATATTTCTGACTGGTCCTCGCACTTTTGACCAGTCCTCGAACTTACGACTGTCCTCACATTTTACGTTTTTGCCCTATCTTGTCACCATGGTGAAGAGAAGCAGTTGTGAAATGAGTGATACGGTTGTTAAGAATGCTACAATGGGCATAAATGTTGGCCAGTCATAAGTGCGAGGACCTGTCAGAAATCACTTTTTTCAGCCCTCTGGGTAGTCCTTTTGTGCATATGGACTACTCAGAGGCTGAAAAAGTTATTTTTGACTGGTCCTCACACTTTTGACCAGTACTCGAACTTACGACTGTCCTCACATTTTACCTTTTTGCCCTATCTTGTCACCATGGTGAAGAGAAGCAGTTGTCTTCCGGTTTGCTTCCTGCCACCAAAAGACGGTCCTGTTTTTGGACCGCCAGCCCCGCTGCCTGTCAGAGCCGCTTCAATCAAGAGAAGCGGCTTGGAAGTTCTCGAATCCTCAAGGATTAGAGGAATAGAGTTGGTGAGAAGCAGGTTGAGCCCCTGTGAGCCCCCAAATAGCTACCCCTTGCTTCTGGGGAGGAAACAGGCGTGGCTCCCTTTCAGCTCGCCGAGACTCCGGACAGCGTGGGACAAGTCTACCCAGCATAGAACAAGGCAGCAGGAGCAACCTTTCTACTGAAAAAAAAGCTAATTCAAACAACCAGGGTGGAATAACAACTTGAACCACGAAACTGCAAGTATTACTAGCCCTGTGATTAATTTTAAAACAGAAGAGTGAATGAGTGAAAGTCTCTTAAAAATGGCTCCCAGCTTCAGCGTTAACGAGCTGAAAGCGAGAGTGGATTAGCAAAGTTATTTCAACAAGTTACAAAGTAGCACTGACTGCAACAAGTGGAGGAAAAGAAAATCTTTTTTTAAAATAAGCCTGATTTTGCTTCAATTTCACCTTTAATTTGACTAAACCTGGGGGAATTTTTTAGAGGACTTTGTGGTGGAGGAAAGGGAAAAAGGATTTCCTTTTTTGGAAAAGCTAGGCTACGTGGCAGGATGGCTTCTAAGCAGACTAAACAGGATGTGAAGGCGGCGGGGGGGGATCCCCCACACATAAACCTGAACAGCAGCCTCCCAGCCAGCAAAGCCAGAAAAAAGAGATTGATCTTGAAAGTTTAAAGGATTTTATTGCTCAGGCTTTGATGAGGCAAGATGAAAATTTGGATGAGAAATTTAAAAAGTCACAACAGGAAATTAAGCAGGAGATTAAAGAAATCAAAGAGGTGGTGCAAGAAAAATATGACAAGGTGACCCAAAAATTAATGACAGTGGTGACTGGATTGTCAGAAGCAATTATTAAAACTGATGCTAAAGTGGAAGAATTTAGATCAGAAATGGATGTTAAAATGAAGGAGACTGATTATAAAATCTTTGATGCTGACAATAAAATGCAGAGACTTGAAAATGAGATCACAATGATGCAGTTCAGGTCTATGGAATTTGCCATAAGGTTGAGAGGCTTAAAAGAGAATGATAGACAAGTCTGAGACAGACTTGTGCTGATGC